AAAGTCCGAGAGTTAAGGGAATTGCTTTATAATTTCTATTCTTTATCTTTTCAGTAAATATCTCTCAGCAAATGTTAATTGGTTAAATGAAACTTGGGGCACTAATCATTAGCAGAGGTACCCCTAGAACCCTGAGGGGGGAGATGGAGCTGGCCTTGCTGGGATGCCAGGGTTGCAGTGAGTTCCTAGTATTGCTATAGAATGTATATTTCAACAATTAAACAAATATCTAGCACCTGCTGGTGAAAGGCCAGGAAGAATATCAAGACAAAAAAAAAAGCCCTTGCCCTCAAGGTGCTTAAACTCATTAGCATCCATTTCAATTCAATGAGCATTAATTGAGTGCCTACTATATTCCAAGCACTGTGGATTCAAGGAAACACTTCTAAACCTCAAGGAATTTGCATTTCACTTGGGAGAAACAAGTTATTCACAGATCAAAGGATAATAGCTTGAGACCTGGAAGAGATCTGACAGACCGCCTAGTCCAACCCCCTAATTTTAAGGATGAGGAAATTGAGACCAAGGAGATTAAGTCATTTGCCCAGTGTCACAGACACAGGGTCAGAGGTAGGACATGAATGCAGAGCCAGTACTCTTCCCACGGTACCATGAAGACACACATGAGCAAAGATGAAAAGAAATACAATGTGATTTCAGGGGAAATAAAGCCCTAACAACTAGGAGGATTAGGGACGGCCATGACACCGAAGCCCTTCTTTGAAGGAAGCTGGTGAATCTATGCATTAAAGATGAGGAGGAAGTATGTTCCAGACATGGGGAATTACTTATATAAGGGTAGAAGACAAGGGATACAATATTGTTTATGGGAAACAGCTAGCAATCAGGCTAATTTGACTGAAATGAAGGGTATATTTTTTGGCATTTATGTACGTTCATATACAACATCTATTCATTCAATACATTTAAGTGTACGTACATACATTCACATATTGAGTATTAAGTATAAACTTGCTAATATTTAAGTATAAATATATATTTAAATATAAAACAACTTTCTTCCAATAATTTAAAATCTGTACATTTTAAATTTAAGAACATGATTTCTGAAATTTCACAGAAATTATTCAGAACTTCAGATTCAGCAGAAAGGCACTGGGTGGGCAGTTCAAAGATTAAGTCCATTAGTTTCAGCATCTAAGATACGCACTCTGCATCCAGAATTGAATAGAAGGAAAAAATCTGCCAGGATCACATATGGGAAATTACACAAACCTTTCAATTTCAGGTGGCTTTTTTTTTTAAACACAATACTCTCCTGATAAAACTCTATGGCTGTGAATCATGGAAGAATCAAAATTGTAATTGACCTTCAAAGAACAATTGAAAGCTGGAGAGGGGGTGTGAGCAGGCTGCAGCATATTACTGATGCTGACTTGTGGCATAAAGGCATCATCAAGGCCACGTATGAAAAGACAAGGATGTAGGCTGATGATGTATCAAGAAAAAAGGGCAACAGATGGATAGGTCAAGTGCTGCAATGGTACCTATAAAATATTAAAAGAAACTAATGGAAGAGCTCCTACATGTATAGAAAATATGGATAGATAGGGCAAGAATTAAACTGGATAAGTTGTGGATGGGTTCCAATATATACAGTGAAGGAGTGCTTATTGATCTAATAAAGTGTCACTGTGGAAACAATATAGTGAGTTTCAATATTTCCTTGTCTTTAAGTTTAGTTAATTAATCGATTGACAAGAATTTAATAAGTACTCACTACGTTCCAGGGACTGTGCAAAAACACGTCCCTCACTTCAAGGAGCTCACATTCTATTGGAGAAGACAACATGCCAAAAATGTTGTACAAAAAAATTTAATCTTGAAAAAAATTTATTGTAGACAGCTATTTGGCATAGTAGATAGAATGCTGGACCTGGAGTCAGGAAAACCTGAGTCCAAATCCAACTTCAGACTCTCATTATATGTGTGACCCTGGGCAAGTTACAAACCTGTTTGCCTCAGTTTTTTCATCTGTGGAATGAGGATAATAATAACACCTACTTCCCAGGGTGGTTGTCAGTCAATAAATATTTATGAAGTGCCTACTACACATAAGGCCCCGTACTAAATTCTAGGGATACAAAGAAAAGCAAAAGTTTGTCCCTGCCCTTGAGCCTCACAATGTAATGGGGAAATAACATGCCAGCTACTATGTACAAATACACAAAACATAGGATAAATAGGAAATAATCAATCAAAGGAAGGTACTAGAATTAAGAGGGATTAGGAAAGGTTTCCTGTAAAATGTGGGATTTTAACTAAAACTTGAAGTAAGCCAGGGAAGTCAGAAGACCAAGATGAGGGAGAAGAACAGTCCATTCATAAGGGACAGCAAGTGAAAATGCCAGGAGTCAGGAGATGGAGTGTCTTGTTCAAGGAAGAACAAGGAGACTAGTGTCACCGGACAAAAGGGTGAAGTGGGCATAGGATGTAAGAAGACTGCAAAGGTGGGGAGGGGGCAGATTATGAAGGGCTTTGAATGCCAAACAGAGGATTCTGCATTTGATCATGGAGGTGACAGGGAGCCACTGGAGTTTATTAAGTAGGGGAATGATACGGTCAGACCTGTGCTTTAGAAAAATCATTTTATCAGCTGAGTGAAGAATGGACTGGAGTGGGGAGAGACTGGTGACAGTCAGACCAACCACCAGACTATGGCAATAATTCAGGCATGAGGTGATGAGAACTTGCTCAAGTGAGTGGTGGCAGGATCAGAGAGAAGGGGGCATAGTAGAGAGATATTACAAAAGTAAAATCAGCAGGCCTTTGGCAACAGATGGGATCTGAAGGATGAGGGCAAGAGAGGGTAAAGAATCAAGAACGACGTCTGAGTTGCAGAAGGTATAAGGGGGCAAGATGAGTTCTGTTTTGGACATGTTGAGTTTAAGATGTCATTAGGATATCCACTTTGAAATATCTAATAGGCAGTTGGAGATGTGAGACTGGAGGTCCAGCAGTGAGATCCATCAAAAGAGAATGGGAAGGTGCAGTCAGATAGGTAGGAGGAGAACCAGGAGAGAGGAGTGTCAAGAAAATCTGGAGAGAAGAGAGCATCAAGGAAAAGAGGGTGATCAACAGTATCAAAGGCTGTAGAGAGGTCAAGAAGAATGATCACTGAGAAAAGGTCATTGAATTTAGCAGTCAAGAGATCATTGGTAACTTTGGAGAGAGCAGTTTCCTAAATAATGAGGCTGGTAGCCTTGTGTTATGAAAATAAAATGAGATAATATTTGTAAAGTGCTTACAACCTTAAAGCACTATGTAAATTCTAGCTATTACTATTGATTTGCTAAACTACTTTTGTTCCACAAAGTAATCTAGACACAAAATATGGATTTCTGTAGTTGGATAGCTTAAACTGGATAGCTTAAGTGGCTCATGCAACTCAGTTCTATGATTTTCTAATACTTTGCAGCCATCTCATGGTTTCTAAATTTCAAGACTCTTGGAAATTTACAGTAGCTGCCCTTCTGAAGTCTAGGGCTTTTTCCCTGGGTCAATCTGGGGTTTTTCAGTAGCGTTTCAGTGAAGTAGTGATATCTTTTCATTGAGAGCCCCTCATCACAAACCCAGAGATGTAACCAGATATCCTGACCTAGACCATGTAAAAGATACAATGACTCAGCATTTGGCTTGATATAAGAATAAATGTCCTCACAACTAGAAATATGTGAGAGTTGCTTCCTTGGGATACAGAGGATCCCCTCTTACTATGGTTCTTCCTGGTAAAGCCTTATGACTGCTTGTATGAGATGTTTTAAGGGAAATTCTTTATCAAGGAAGAACAAGGAGGCTATATATAGATACATACACACATACATATATGGATATATACATATATGGATAAATGTGTGTATATATTATATATGTATACATACTTATTTATATCTATATCAGTCTCTCTTATAGCAGGTGATAAGTGAGTTTAATGAAAAATCCTTATATGTATTTCAAGATGAATTTGAGAAGCAATTCTGAGAAGCCAAGTTCTTTAATTACTGGCATACTTCTGTACAGGTAAACCTTCGTTGTAAGCAAATCCTGCATAGGAAGATTAAAGTTTTTAAAAAGATAAATTAGGGCATGATATTATACTTTATAAAAGAATTCATAAGGAATTCTATATTTAAATAAGGTTGCTTTTCTATTTAAAATTTTTAAAGATAGAACTTGAGAAATGCATCCGTAGTACAAAGGAAGTCACATTTGGAATTCCCTTCCGACCTGCAGATTCTGTGACCGAGATCATTTTCTGGCCATTTGTGCACAAGGAGTGTCTATATCCAAAACAGGAGTTGTCCCACCTAATCACTAGCTCAGATTTCCTTGGAACCACAGGCTTTGCAGAGCAAACCTACCCTGGGAAAATACTTTTCACTGAGTGCTCAGCTACTGAAAACAAGAGATGAAAAGCTGTGCTGTTTCTTCTTCAAAGGACGCCTCATTTTGAGGTTCAGAGAGTGCTTCACAGACACTAATTACACAGAGCCTCACCAGACCCTGGGGAACAAGACACAGCACGGCCCAAGTACTCTGCCATTTCCCGGCGGGTAAACCACGGCTTGGAGTCGGCTCCCTCTTTCTAGGACTCTACAAAAGCAAGTGGGAAAAGAGCTTCTCTTCCTCAAACCTCGCAGCCGGACACAGTCGGGACTTTTCACTGCGCGACCCCCCCCCCCCCCCACTCTACCCGCGCGCATTCACCTGGGGCACAGGGGCGTCGGGGGCTCGCGCAGAAGCTCCCCCTCCCGCGCGCCCCAGTCCCGTGCACTCCCCCGGGATCCTGCGAGGGCCCGGCGCTCAGACTAGTGCGGGGGCGGGGGAGCGCTTCCCCTGCATCCCCGGGAGCCGCGAGCCCGGACCTGTCCCGGCTCGACCTGCCCCGGCTCAGTCTCGCGGGATTCCCTAGCTCTCGCGCCCCGTGCGGCCGCCGGATCCCGGCACCTCGCCAGAGCCATTTGCTCCCGCCGCGGGGACCCGAGGGGAGGGAGGCGGCAGCGGCGACGACGGAGGCGGCAATAGCGGCGCTGGCGCTCGGGCCACTCAGGAGTTCCCCCACAGGTAAAGAGGCGGCCGTCGTGGCCCGGGCCGTCCCGTAGGCGATGACCCTGGGGCTCCTTGGCAGAGCGAGCCCCGGCCGGGCGCTGGGGCGATGGATGGATGGGGGAGGGGGCGGTTGTCCAGGTAACGGGGAGCGGCTGCTGCGGGGGCTGCACGAGCCGGAAGGGGGCGGGCGTGGCGCTCGCCCCCTCCTGGAGTGGCCTGGTCCTGGCTTCTGTGTCGAGGAGGGCCCCCTGCACACCTCGCGGCGGCTACAGGTGCTCGGGGGAGGCGGCAGTGGTCACTTGCCCGCACCCGCAGAAAGTTTCTCCCGAAGTTGGGAGCCAAATCCCCTAAGCCACTTTCCGAGTTAATTGGCGGAAATCGTCCACCGGTGCACGGGGGGAGACGGCGGGCAGGGCAGGAACAGGTGCCCATCTCGGTAGCAGGGGCAACCTACTCCTGCTGCGGCCAGGAGGGCGCCTCGCCCTGGGCTCCGGTGGGCCAGGAAACCCGTCGAGGGGCTTTATTTCAGGGTGATTTGTAGTGGGTGGGGGAGGTGGGAAGGGCTTACTTTGCTTTTTGCGCGCCCCACCCTTGATCAAATTGCTAATCCCTCATTCCTGCCATTTTGGTGGGGAGGGGAGCGGCAGGGTGCTGAGGGTGATGATTATACTCCATAACAACTAGATGGAGTAGGTTCGTAGGGTCATGTTTTTAGACCTGGAAAGGACCCTGGAGGTCATCTAGTCCAATTCCCTCATTTTACAAAGGCACCTAAAACTGGGAGAAGTTCCTTGCCGGGGGTCTACACAGATAGGTGGCAGAGCTGGGGTTTTAACCTACATCGCCTGACGCCAGATGCAGTATTCTTCCTGTACCATGCATGCAGCCAGCAGTGCCTTCTATAAAGGAACCCGAGAAAGTTCAAATCTAGTTAGTTGTTCAACAAGAAGAAAACTTTTATCTCCAACATGCTGAAATAGAGTTTGGGGAGGCAGCTTGCAGGATTTAGGGATCTGAGGACCAGAATTTTATTCCAGGCCCTCTTACTTAGTAACTGTGTGATTACTTCACTTCTCTGGGATACAGTTTTCGCTTTTATTAAATAAGGGAGTTGCTAGATGACCTCTGTGGTCTCTAAGCTACTATGATTCAGTAATTCCTTTGTGATTCATTTTTACCAGCATTTTTCTCCCTATTCCTGTTTTAACACTCTGTATTTGAATTATTAATATTTGGGTGTACAGAATGTGCAACATAATATAAAGATTTTGTGATTATTCCTTAAAAATAATAGAAATGTGCCTTTCTTCTTAAAAGGCATGCAGTTGTAAATGAAAGTTATTACTTAGACATCATTTTAAACCTGGTTCATGTTAACATTTGTGCCTGAATTTAAAGTTGTGACTGAAGTTGATGATGTGTCCTTGTTTGGTTTTCCAGTTGACAATAAAGAAGTAAATTTCAGTAAAACAACGTCCTAGAGGATGGTAAAATAATGAGAAGAGCAATTTGAGTAACCTTTTGGTGATGTTGCCTAAGAGGGTGGAAATAGCTGCATTCCAGACCATGTGGTGATGAAATCAGGAATTGGAAGAAAATGGAAACAGTACTGTTTTTTGTGATGTGCATAACGTTGCCCCTCATAAGAGGGCACAGTTTCTTTACCTGTGAACCAATTACTGTTCCCAAATGTGTGAAAATGACCTACAATATGACATTTTTCCCTAATTTGATGGGACATTATGACCAGTCTATTGCTGCACTAGAAATGGAGGTGAGTTGCTGCTCTTCCTTTAACTTTGAAATTTTGTAAGGCATTCTAATAGTAAACTACAGGTATAACTTTCTTTATTCAATAGATTGATGTACTTCTCAAGTTGTGTATGTCAAATAATTTAATGTACACATGGGAAATTAGCTTATTTAAATGAATCCTATGGGGAAGTCTTTTATAAAGTTAAGAATTCTTCCTTATCTTTTTAAAAACCTTCAATCTTCAAATCCAGTATTTGCTTAAAATGGGAGTACACTTGTACAGAATTATAGCAATGAACAATTTTGAAGTGTCATGTAGTTATTAATTAATATCTGGCATATCTGAATCGAATATAATTGTCCTCAAATTTTATTCCAGATTTTTTCTTACCTCAATAAAAAGTCATTTCATATCTAACCATGACACTATGAGCACTCAGTGGTATGTACCTGTCAAACAAGTTTTCATACTTGTTTGAATAATAATTTAAACAATATAAAGAAATCTTTCAACCTAAGGTCTCATGTTAAATCATGAGATACTGCATTTAACTCTTAACAGTCTCTAGACAAATGTTTTTCTCTTTCAAGACTTGGTTCAGCTGCCACCTTCTCCATAAAGCCTCTCCTGATCTCCTTTGTTAGCTGCTAGTGCGCTCCCTTCACAAACTACCTTGTAGAGACGGAGGAGGGATGGAATACTTAAACAGTGCCTGCTATGTGCTAGGCATACTGCTAAGCACTTTTTACAAATATTCTCTCTCATTTTGTCCTGCAAAGCAGGTGCTCCTGTTATCCCCACTTTACATTTGAGGAAACTAAGGCAAACAGATAAAGTGATGCCTAGGGTCAAACAACTAGTAATTGTCTGAGACCAGATTTGAACTCAGGTGTTTCTGAGCCAGCATTCTCCATCTACTGCACCACTTACTTACTCTTTTTGTATATATTCTGTACTTCTATTTGTCTATGTTGTCTTTTCCATTAGAATGTAAGCTCCTTGAGGGAGGGAACAGACTCACTTATGTCTTTGTATCCCTAGGCTTAGCGTGGTCCCTAACACAAAGTAAGCATTTAATAAATGCTTTTAAACATATATGTATGTGTATAATACTTTTTTTCTTTTTTGCTGGACCTTTGATTTCTTCAGTATAGGGAGCTTCTGGTGAGGATTTCCTCTACCAGTATAGGTCAGCACCTTCTCTGCAATTTTTAATCTAAGTGATTTGCCTCCAACTCAAAAAGAGCTTAAGTGACTCGCGCAGCACAAACATGTCACACAGCAAATATGTAGTCAGAGATGGGACTTGAACCTAATTCTTACTCAGATGCCTGTTCTCTATCCATTATGCAATGTTGTCTCTCTTGGGTATATATATCCCTACTTATTTGAATGATGACTTGAATAACATAAAGAATAGTTTAATATTAAATTATGAGATAATGAGTTTAGGTGAATCTATAACTCAAATATGTGTTTCCTCCAAGACTTGATTCAAGTAGCATCTTCTACATGAAGCCTTTCCTGATTGAGAAAATAGATATGAATACATAATATATATTTTTATAACATATGTGCAATCTTTCTATCTATCACTAGCTAGCCACTCACTATTCTTTATGTAATGTTGGGGAAATGGGAATGAATGACTGGTAGAACTGAAAGAAAAGGGGAAAAAATGTACATGGGTTGAATTGGTTCTCTGGGAGCTTTACTTTTACTCTAGGTTAAACTGTGCATAAATGTTGCTAATACAGTTAAACCATAGGGCTGAGAGGAAGAAGAAAAAAGGGAAGTACATGTAAGGAGAAAGAGAAAACCAAACCTATCTCTGAGGTGGGGGGACTAAGAGAAGACATCTTACAGTTTGGTAGTTGTAACAACTATTGCCTTAGGTGCCACTCATTATTAGTTACCTCATGTTTAGAGATATGCAAATGTAGGTAGGTTGAGGGAGTAAAGAGTTACCCGTACCAGCAAGTTCAAGTTCTTATCCTACTCTACAGATCTAGAGAGCTGATCTAACTTATGTTGGAAGACAGCACTGTTGTTTTTTTTTTTAATCAGTTTTATCAAGAAAACAGTATAGTCTAAGAAAGGTTATTTTACCATATTGAACTTAAATTGTGCAAAGAATAGTTCTCAGGCTACTTCATTGTATAGAAGAGCTGTTAAAAATATTTTTAGAAGTGTACTACAAATTATATACCTGCACTCTTTCAGTGTGTGTTTTTAACTAGCACATTGCAAAATGGAAAGTTTCAATTTCTTAAAGTAATAGGGTGCCTTCAATAATACGCATTGTATTCTTAGTTACATCATTTATGATCTTTATATTACATCATGTGTAATTACTCTTTGTATGAAAACTAAACTTTCAGAGTAGCTTTAGGCATTTTCAATATTCCATTTCTTAAGAATCTCTTGTATATTTACCTAACCTGTTTGATCTATTGGCACTATTCAAATAATTCATCCTTTCATAAGATAAATTTGAATACTCATGTTGACCATGTGATGTTCAGCTATTTAGACAGTCTCTTCCCTGGAAAGGTATTTTAAAAGCTATAAGAGATATATCCTTGCTCTAAATAATTATAATAGTAAGGTAAATAGGAACTGATCTTTGTTCCATACCCTATTTACACTATATCTGAACATAAAATTTGTTTGTGAAATGTTGTTGAATCATTTACTACTTTTTAAAAAAACAGCACCGATCATTTTGTTTTGTTATTAGCAAATTTGGGAACTGTAGAAAGGGAACTTCTTTTCTTTCCTGTCCAATAATGTCATTTCTCTTGTATATTAAGCATATCAATTGCCCTTACTATTTGAGTTTTATTGCTTCAGTCAGTACTTTTCTGAGTTTAAAAGGAAAAAAGCAAGCAGGCCACCTGCTCCTTTCCTGGCCACACAGAGAGAAAGGAGAGGAGAAGGTAAAATGAACTTTTTTGTTTAAACCATTTTCCATTAGACTTTTTGTTCCCAGAAGAGTTTATATGGAACTGAATGAGGCAAGTTTTGGCATGACTACCTAGAGACAAAGCAGGAAATATTTAGAATAATAGACTAGGTGAAAGGGCCTGTAAGAGGTTGTATTGTACTTGTGTACAGAATTGCCAACAAATGATCATCCAACCTCTGTTTAAACACTATTAAGTGATAGGAAACTTGCTACCTCATGATGCAACTTATTGCATTTTTTGGGTGGATTTAGTTGTTCTAAAACATTTAGCTGTTTTTTTTACAGACTGTTGTCTAGCCATGTCTACCTCATTCTGTATTTGCATAGTTGATTTTTAAACACTTAAGTGTAGGACATTGCATATCTTTGTATTACATCTTTTAGATTTAGTTTATCCTGACTTACTGATTTTTTAGAAATATCCTGATTCTGTCATTTACTGTATTAGCTATAGATCCCAGCTTTGTTTTATCTCCAATTTGAAATGCAGAGATTCTTTTTCAAGTAACTTATAAATATTAGTAAAGCAGGTTACAATGATGTTTATATTTTTTCCACTGCATTTTGTGACTTCTTGTCCCTTCTTGTTCTGCCTTAGTCCTTTTAATTTCTTTTTAAATGAATGTTTAGCCCTCATCCACTAAGTCATACTTTCCTGCTGCGGTGACCCTGGTTTTTTTTTTTTACACTTTTCCAGCAGAATCCAAACTCTATTAGAGTCTACCTAAATTATAAAGATTTCAAATATGGCTCAGTGACACAGACTATGTACTGTTTGAAGGACTAAACTAGCCTTGTGTTTGGTGAGGCTCATCACCAGGTTGACTGCAAGGTGATGAAATTTGACTACAACAAGGATCACAGCCTGTACTGGTGGAGGGAATACTTATTGTTATGAAATAATGGCTTTTTGAAGTGTTAGAAGGCTATTTAGAATGAATTGACTTGTAGAGTAGGAAGAGACCTTCAAAATTGTTTAGGCATGATAAATCTTTTATGGGAACGCTTTCTGGCACCCTGCATTCCCAGACCTTATTATATGGTGTCTGTTTTCATTTTATCTTTCCTGATTGTATCAGAGGAACAGGGAGTATTATTACAGATTCAAATTGAGATGTGTTGATTCAAGTCTTTGCCAACTGTAAAATCTTTTAGATGTAACCTTGGATCAGAAAGTCAGTTTATTTGTCATGATTCTTGTCAGTTCCCTTTTCCTACTTTCCTCTTTCACCTTCTACTTAAAGTCCGTATCTAAATAGAATTTCAGTATTATCAAGAAAAAGGTACTACTGTCTCAACAATTCAGTTGAGAACATTCTTCCTAATCATTTTTGCCCAAATGCTTTTTCTCCAAATCGAATGATTGGCATCTAGGATGTTGTAGACATCTCCCTGCCTTAGTTCTAATGAACTGCAATTCAGTGTCATCTTCTTCCTCTTCACTCCCATTCCAGCCTCATACATTGTTGCCAAACTGTATTGAGAACCATTCTTGACTGGCTTTTAAGTGTTTGGGATAATGAGAGGACATTATTTAGTCTTTTGGCTTGATCATATGGGATTGTTAGCCTCAAGTCAGATAGTTCTTTGTTCAAATACTAACACTTCCCTTTCTGCTCAGACAGGATGCGTGGCCCCGTAATGTTGACTTACTAACCTTTAGTGCCAAATCCTCTTTGGCAGTGTTATTTTAATGAAAATATAGTTCATATTATTATTTTTTTTTAAACAGCCTAGGTTGATATTTCCTAGTCACTGCTAAAATTCTAACACATAAATGAAGATATAGGATCATAGATTTAGAGCTGGAAGACACCCTTATTCTATAAATGAAGAAACAGACAAACAAGTGAAATGATTTGCCTAGGGTCATATAGCTATTAAGTATTAAAGGCAGGATTTGACAGGTCTTCCTGACTCCAAGTCAGCACCATAGCCACTAAAGGTCATTAAACCATTAGGACAAAAAGGTGGAATGTCACGTAGATCTATTCCTTCTAGGAATTCAGAGGGTGGGAAACAAATATTAAATCTTCCAACTTGATATTAG